CACGTAAGTACAAACACTTCCAGTCTCGAAACCCTGAAATTGCAAAAAGTAAAACCCTTCTTTGAGAATCAAATCATTTCGAAAAACATGAAAAAGATTCAGGTACAAGTTTTTTTTTAGAATTCCAATTGCTGACCTTTTTGACTCCGTCAGTGAGATGCCGGACCCCGGTGTCCCTTAGGTGACTAGTCATGACGAAACTGACGTTACTTTTGGTTCCAGAGTTCCTAGATAGTCCGGTGTAAACGGTAACCAGATATACGAATTTGTCTGTCTTCAGGTTGTCATTCATGTACAACAGTTTCCACTAGCAAAACATTAGATAGACAGTAGTAATACTTTAGAATCATACTGAAAAGGCGCTTTCCATAAGTAAAAAGAAATTTTTAAAAAAATCCATTTGCAATTGTGTGCTGAGGTATATTTGAAACATGTCTTTTAACTATTAGTACCTTTTCTTGATCTTTCTTGTCATAACGCCGCGCTATCAAAAGACCAATAAGATAAAGTACAATGATAGCCGTAACTGTACCAAACACTGCACCGTTTCCCAAGATGTCAAATTTATCAAAGACCGTGGAAAAATCGATAGAATTGGGAGGAACAAAGAAGGATGTGGCAAAGTTATCTCCTGGAGGATTTTTACACTCACAAACCGTCTCTTTACCATTAGTTTCCGAAGTTAACTGAAAAAGAACAAGAGGAGGTACCCACTGGTTTGATTTTGAAAACAAACGAAAACCATCCAAGTTATTGTGAAGGTTTTTATTGATAAAAATGACTTCAACCAAAATCGAGAAAGCTGAACATTTGGCAAGACGTTGTTGTGAGATGTGTATTGTTTCATTATGTATTAATTAGTAACATTAAGTTTCTTGAACATTCCAGAGTGGTCAACATGTTCGGTCATTTGATCTAGAACATTCTTAAATTTTGTGTATGTCCAGATTGTTCCAGTAATATCATGTTTTAATAATTTCTAGAATATTCTAGATTTATGATACTATATAAGTACCCTGTCAATTCGATGCATATACAATAATTGTCGTATAAGTAACATTGATGTACAGGTGTATAAAGAGACTGGGATATACTTACACTGGACATTGTGTGCAACAACGGACACTCTGATGTATGTATTTTTAGATTCTTGCTAAGTTTGTACTTTATGATTTGTATATATTAATGTTAATAAATTATTGTTAAGTTTAAATTGTGTGATTGATCTTTGCTGGCATTTAAGGGTAATTCTGACCCATAACAGAATTGGGGGCTCGTCCGGGATCAATAATTTCTTGCACTTTTGCAGTTTATTGTCAGAATTTTGTTGATTAAATTGTTAAATTAAATTATAAGCCAGCAAAAATCAACATGGTATTTTCGGTCACAGACTTTCTTAGTTCACCAAGTGTTCAGGTTTTTGATACGTTAAAAAAGGATGACTTGATCGCATTAGGTTTGCATTTTGGGTTAGATGTTAAATCCTCTCAGAGAAAGCAAGACATTAGAATTAAGGTTGCAAACAAACGAGTAGAAGAAAACGTCTTTGAAAAATACGATCTTCCAGAATATACAGTTAAATCAGAGTTAGGCTCTTATAAAATGGCAGAATATCAGTTTCAATTAGAGTTAGAGAAAATGCGACTTGAAAGAGAAAAATTAGAAAGAGAAGAGCGAGAAAGAGAAAGAGAAAGAGAAGAACGACACCGTGAACGAAAATTTGAATTAGACAAATTAGAAAGACAAGAGCACTTTGAATTAGAGAAATTAAGATTACAGCACCAACCAGAACCATCATTTGTCAAGACTGAATTTGATGCAGCAAAAAATATTAGGTTAGTTCCAAAATTTCAAGAAAAATCTGTAGACAAATATTTTCCCCAATTCGAAAAGGTCGCAGAGAATCTTAAATGGCCACAAAATGTTTGGTCAACAATGTTACAAAGTGTACTGGTTGGAAAAGCGGCTGAGGTATACTCTGCACTAGGGGTAGCTGAGAGTTCAGACTATGAGAAGGTCAAAGCATCAATATTAAAAGCATATGAATTAGTACCTGAAGCGTATAGACAAAAGTTCAGAAAGTATAGGAAGTTTGATAATCAAACATTTGTTGAATTTTCACGAGAGAAAGAAGATTTATTCGATCATTGGTTTAGATCTAAGAAACTTGATAAAACTTTTGCTAATTTGCGCCAAGTCATCCTGGTAGAAGAGTTTAAGGAATGTGTTCCTCAAGATTTGAAAACACATTTAGAAGATAAGAATGTGAAAACTCTTGAAGAGGCAGCAGTCATATCTGATACTTATGCTCTGTCTCATAAAAAGAATTTTGTATCAAGATCTCAGACTAGCAGTAATTCTACCAATTCAGACACATATAAAAAGAGTGGTTCAGGGTCTCAGTCTTTCACAAGTTCCCAGTCTCCATCCCAAGGTGGTTTTAAGTCCGCTCCAGGACGTGTTGAAGGATCTTCTGGAATAGGGTCGCTTCCTACTTGTAGTTATTGTAAGAAAAAGGGTCATTTGATCAGTGAATGCTTTAAACTTAAGAGAAAAAGTGATTTTGATAAAACTCAACCACATACTTGTGCGGCAGTTAGAGGTGATAGAGAAGCCTTAGTTTCGATTTGTTCTGACACTCCTGATGTCCATGGTTCACAGTCCAGGTCTATTGATTCTATGGACGATTATAAGCCCTTTATGTCTCAGGGATTTGTTTCACTCGGTGACTCTAGCGAAATAGAACCTGTCCAGATTTTGAGAGATACTGGTGCTGCACAGACGTTATTGTTAGAGAGTGTGCTTCCTTTGTCTGAGCAGACTTCTACTGGTGGGTCAGTTTTATTACAGGGTGTGGAGCTAGGCGTCATTGATGTTCCCCTGCATAGAATTAGTTTGAAGTCAGATTTAGTTACTGGACCTGTTATCGTAGGTGTTCGACCTACTCTTCCCGTTCCAGGCATTTCTTTGTTGTTAGGCAACGATTTAGCTGGTGGGAAGGTTGTACCTGATCCTATAGTTTGTGAGAAAATCAATCCAGATGTCATGTGTTATGATGAAGATGATGACATTTATCCAGCCTGTGCTGTTACTAGAGCGATGGCCAGAAGACGAGAAATGGAGGCAGACCATACTCAAGCCTTTGACGAGACGAATTCCTCTGTTGATATTGATTTGAATGACACTTTCTTATCTGACCTTAATGGCACTCAAACAAACATGGAACCACACAATATCAAGAAGCAAGAGAAGAAAGAACTGTTACCAAAATTTGGTGGTGAGGATGATGAGTTGCATCCACTAGTTAGTAAAGGCAAGGACATCCTCAGCCGAGAACGTTTACTCTCTCAACAACATAAAGACCCAGATATCATTCAACTTAGTAAGAGGGCACTTCCACCAGAAGAGGCTACTAAAGTTGGAGAATGCTTCTATATGAAAGATGGCATCCTTATGCGAAAATGGCGACCACCTGATGCTTCTCCAGATGAAGTGTGGCGTGTTGTTCACCAAATAGTGGTCCCAGCTGCTTATCGTCGAGATGTCATGAGTTTAGCTCACGATACACCTATGGCTGGTCATTTAGGTATCAATAAGACTTATAATAGGATTTTGAGTCATTTTTATTGGCCTAAGCTAAGAAAGGATGTTTCGCAGTTTTGCAAGTCATGTCATGTTTGTCAGATGGTAGGTAAACCGAATCAGAAGATACCATCCGCCCCTCTCCAACCAATTCCAGCTTTTGAAGAACCGTTTAGTCGAGTGTTGGTGGATTGTGTAGGACCTTTGCCTAGGACCAGATCTGGGAACCAGTATTTACTTACCATTATGTGTACATCCACTCGATTTCCTGAAGCCATACCTCTTAGGAAAATAAAGGCAAAGAGCATAGTTAAGGCCCTAACCAAGTTTTTCAGTTTTGTAGGAGCACCCGAGGCAATTCAGTCGGATCAAGGCTCAAATTTTATGTCGGGGTTGTTCCAGCAAGTCATGCTTGAGTTGGGTATAAGGCAATATAGATCAACTGCTTATCATCCTGAGTCCCAGGGAGCGCTAGAACGTTTTCATCAAACCCTAAAAACAATGCTGAAGACCTATTGTTACCAGTACGAAAAAGAATGGGACGAAGGTGTTCATCTTGTGCTATTTGCTGCACGAGAAGCAGTCCAGGAGTCTCTTGGGTTCAGTCCTTTTGAATTGGTGTTCGGTCATACAGTTAGAGGTCCTTTGAAATTGTTGAAGGAAAAGTGGCTGACTGAGACTAGTGATCTTAATCTTTTAGATTATGTGTCTGATTTCAAAGAATAACTTTACAATGCTTGTAAATTAGCACAAGAAAATTTGAAGAGTTCTCAGATGAAAATGAAAATGTGGTATGACAAAGATGCCAGAAATAGGGTGTTTAAGCCAGGTGATAAGGTTCTTGTATTTTTACCTATTCCTGGTCATCCTTTACAGGCCAGATTTTATGGCCCTTATGAAATTGGAAGCAAGATCAGTGATGTAAACTATGTAGTTAAGACACCAGGTCGACGTAAAGAGAAACGGGTTTGTCACATTAACATGTTAAAAGAGTATTTTGAAAGGTGTGACCGAAATTCTGTAAAACCAGTTTCCACTTTAGCCAATGCTAAGACTGTTCAAAATTGTATTGAAAGTGATACGAGTGTAGAAATGAATGAGAAAGATTGTAATCAGAGTGTCCGCTTAAAAAACTCCGAAATTTTGGCTGATTTTGATGCCAAACTTGAACATTTGAACATTCACCAAAAAGAACAAGTTAAAAACTTGATGAATGAGTATCATCACATCTTTTCGGATGTTCCAAAGAAAACTAATGCAGCTTGTCATGATGTCATAGTGAGTGACGTTCTGCCTATCAAACAACATCCGTACCGTCTGAATCCAATAAAATTGCAGTACCTAAGAAGGGAAGTGCAGTACATGTTGGACAATGACATTGTTGAACCTAGTAAAAGTGATTGGAGCTCACCATGTATTCTTGTACCAAAACAGGACGGTACCTACCGATTATGTACAGACTTTAGAAAGGTGAATTCTGTTACCAAAACTGATTCATATCCAATACCTAGAATCGATGACTGTATTGACAACACTGGAAACGCGAAATTTGTCAGTAAATTTGACCTGTTGAAAGGCTACTGGCAAGTACCGTTAACAGAAATAGCAAAAGAAATATCCGCTTTTGCTACACCAGATGGACTTTACCAGTATAAAGTAATGCCTTTTGGCATGAAAAACGCACCGGCTACATTCCAAAGGATGATTCACTCCCTTCTTCAAGACCTTGAGGGATGCGAGGCCTACATTGATGATGTCGTCATATACAGCAACACATGGGACGAACATCTCCGAATCATGCGTGCTTTATTTGACATTTTAGCTAAAGCAAACTTAACTGTGAATCTTCAGAAGAGCGAATTTTGTCATGCTTATGTAGAGTATTTAGGTCATAAAGTAGGTCAATGTTATGTTACACCCATAATGGCTAAAGTGGAAGCTATTTCAAAGTTCCCGATTCCTACAAACAAGAAAGAATTAATGAGGTTTTTGGGCATGGCTGGGTTTTACAGAAAATTTTGTCCAAATTTTTCCTCAGTAGTTAGTCCACTTACAAATCTTTTACAAAAGAGGGTTAACTTTGAATGGACAAAGGACTGTGAAAAATCCTTTCATAAAATCAAATCTGTCCTTATGAGCAACCCAGTTCTGTCAACTCCAGATTTTTTTAAGCAATTTAAGCTTACTGTTGACGCTAGTGATGTTGGAATCGGGGCAGCTTTGTTTCAAGAACATAGTGATAAGGTAGATAGAGTTGTTTCACTTACAAAATGTCAACAAAAGTATTCCACCATTGAAAAGGAATGCCTTGCTTTGTTGTTAGCCTTACAGCATTTTGATGTTTATCTGAATGTTACTTTGCATCCAATTCTTGTATATACGGATCACAACCCCCTGACATTTTTGCATAAATTGTCAAACAAGAATCAAAGACTGACTAGATGGAGTTTGTTGTTACAAGAATACAACTTAACAATTAAGCATATCAAAGGCAAAGACAATGTTATTGCAGACGCCTTGTCAAGAGTATCGTAAACATACTAGATTTTGTATTAATGTACCTATGTTTTAATAATATAAGTTTTCATTGACATTCAAACTTTTTAAGGGGGGAGGTGTTGTGAGATGTGTATTGTTTCATTATGTATTAATTAGCAACATTAAGTTTCTTGAACATTCCAGAGTGGTCAACATGTTCGGTCATTTGATCTAGAACATTCTTAAATTTTGTGTATGTCCAGATTGTTCCAGTAATATCATGTTTTAATAATTTCTAGAATATTCTAGATTTATGATACTATATAAATACCCTGTCAATTCGATGCATATACAATAATTGTCGTATAAGTAACATTGATGTACAGGTGTATAAAGAGACTGGGATATACTTACACTGGACATTGTGTGCAACAACGGACACTCTGATGTATGTATTTTTAGATTCTTGCTAAGTTTGTACTTTATGATTTGTATATATTAATGTTAATAAATTATTGTTAAGTTTCAATTGTGTGATTGATCTTTGCTGGCATTTAAGGGTAATTCTGACCCATTACAACGTGTTGTGGAGGTATAATACATGTACATTAAATACCTGGCATGAAGTCTTGTCCCATTTCCCTCCATCCCATACTCGACACCCTGTGGTCCAGCCACTGATACGGTAAGTTGCAGTTGAGGTGCCGTTGTAAGCAGATCGGCGACGCCTAGAAGTCCTTGGTTTGGGAACTGGTGTTAAAGAAAAATGCCGAATCCCTTGTATTTACCCTAAATAATCATTTCCTTGACAGACCTTGTAATAGTCATATTTACTGGTATTATAATCAAATCTTTTTTGTTACAGATTTTAAGCTGTCCAATAAGCATTTCAACATATCGACATTATATTCTGTTTCAATTACTCACGAGTATTTAAGAATTTCAAGGACTATTCAATTACTATAGTACTTACTTGATGCAACATGGACTGAAAAATAGATCAAACATGGTCCTGGGCAGAAATTCATTGGAAGGAGACACGAGAAACCAACATCAGTCCAGTCACTGGGGACGATCACTTTCGACCATCCGTGGTTACCAGCGGTAGGGATACTGTCTTTTTTGACATACACTACATGTGATGTTGTATTCATTGTACTGTTGTCACATTCCACACTAAAGACCAAATTATCCAACGGATTCCTCCACCATATTTTATAAGAAAAAGTCTGCGAGCTGGACTCCTCTGGATCGTCAGGGAACGCTAAAACGACGTCTCTTTTCGTCACTGAAGGAGATACGCTGAACTTGGTCTTTATAGAGGGGAGTTTAGTTTGGTCGCCCAGAACAATATGAACTGTGGGTGACTGTATGTTTTTTGCTTCCGAATCCCATATGAAAGGCGTTTTGGAGTATTTGGTAACCTTAATTACAAACTTTTCTTTTTCATTCTGATTGAAAGTCAATTGAGTTTGTACGCATTACAAATGTACAGAATTCTGCAAAAACATTTTCATTTTTTTTTAATTGTTTCAACTTAGAAAATGCACACATTCAATGCTTTGACGAGAATAGTAATAATTAAACGTCGATATTGTTTTTAAACATTTGTTTAAAATATCTTCAACATCGTCAAGGGATAAAAATTGCTCTGATTATGTCAGTCTATCGTACTAAAATCGTGAATTAATGTATAACAACCAACCTGCAAAAAATCTTGCTTTGTATTACTGACGTCCAATTTGATTTTTAAATCTTTTCGGTCAATCTCCTGGTCAACTCGGAGTTTTTCCATACTAGTTGTTAATCCTGGTCGAGTGACTTCAACTTCAAACTGTTTCCTATGAGTTATCTCCTTCAGTACAGTTCCAAGCTCGACAATGGAGTTCTGCATGCTTGGGACAGTTCTACTCGCCTACGAATTAATAGAAGCCAAAGTAATACAAAACATTTCATAGAAGATTGCTAACTCTTCGATAACACCTGACACCACCTCTGATGTTTTTTAGGCCTGTCTTTGCTCTGTTCCCGATCAGTAGTGTTTAAATGAGCCTAGATACTGTTAGTTAGCGCCATATTTCATCTACATATACTTTTTTTACTCAAGAATTTTACAAACCATTTTGACTGAGGAGTTTTACGTACCATTTTGTAAAAGTAGTTTTAAAGAACCATTTTGGTGGAGGTATTTAACGTACCATATCGACTGAGGAGTTTAATTTCTCCCTGTATGATGCCACAGACATTGAAGTAAAGAGAGCTCTCTCTTGTGGTGAAAACCCGGTTCCATCGTAACTGTTAATGAGATCTGAAGCGGCGTACTCTTTTGCTATTTCGTCAATGTCACCCGTATCTGGAATGTCTGGACTTAGTTTTGGAATCAAAACATTCAGAAGATTATCCACTGATCGTAGGATAGCTGCATAACGGAAAAAATTTATTAAAACCTGTTGAAATCTTCATGGGGAATTGGAAATGCAAATGTGATCGAAAAGTTACTTTATAAAAATATTTATTCTGTACCGACCTTCTGATGTAGATAGATAATCTTCATATACAGGAAACATAGCTTCTTTGGATGTGTTGATGAAGTTACCAATTACGTCATTCGTTGCATTCAGCGCTGTGGCCTAGAGAAAATTTATGAAAGATTGTATACCTGACATCAACTTCAAGTTTCTATATATCTATCCCACTAAGCGCCACTAATCCATACCATAACTTCTTTGGTGACCAGTTGCTTCTTCTCCATAGCAGATCCCGAGGAAAATGCCATTTGTCTTTGTCGAACCGTGGTGTCTATTCTTAGTGAACTTGTAGACGTTGAAAGAAGGTTTGTCATATTCTTCATTCCCTAAATACAATTTCTTTGAGTGGCCTTATACTGAACAAGATTAAATCAAAATAATGAATTGAGAAATAAATGCCATTAGAGTAGGGGAAGTAATGAACTAATCCCACCTCTGTGAGTAACTCGAGGGTAGAGTTAACATCTTCTGGGACGTAGGTTAGTTCTTGAAAGAGGTTTTCAAATGTGGTGTTGTCACCCACACTACTCCACGATCCCGGGTCTTCCACCAGCGTGTCGATCAAACTCGGCGGTGGAAGAGACTAGAAAGATGATGAAGAAGGGAAGAGATAACAAAAGAATCCATTAAATTCTGGGTCGATGATACAAAAACACGCTGTACTTATGATCACTGGAAGAGGACTAGCTATACATACCTCCCGATTCGTGGTACTGATAGTTGTTTCTACTGCCATGGAAACCAGACCCACATCCTCTTGTTCAATTGCAGTTTCTATCAGTGCCTGTGAATTTTGTAGATAGTCTTCCACGCTCATGGCCATCATTGGGGAATAGACCTGTAAGAGTTTCCCAGTTATTCCAATCATGCAATCATGTGGTGAAGAAAATTGCTGGTTGCCATCGAAATATGAAAGCTCACCAAACCAATAATATTTTAAGCAAACCCGTTAAGGAAGCTCAGTTGGTAGAGCGCTAGCTCCATGACGGAGGGTTGTAGGTTCAAACCTTGGCGTCGACTGATCGAAGTCGATAACAAATATCAATTGTTCCTTCGCCAAGCGCTCGGCACTTTAAAGTTAAATTTATGGATTTCTTCGAATGAGACCTGAAAACCCTAGGCCCCTTGTCATGTTGGCATGGCTAAGATCCTTCGCTGCTCAATGGTCCTGAATGCCGCGTTAAGGTCTAAATTTGAAGCCCTTTACCGGTATATGGTGACGTGTCTATCTGATCGAGTAAAACAATACTAGTATTCGAACAGAACGTAAAACAACATACAATCAACCATTCTTTGTCGTACCAACGCCTACCGTGACACGGAGCCTCGGTCTCATCCGCAACTTTTACTTCAAAGTGAAGGGCTTGGCGAACAAACACTTGCTACCTATTTATAATCGACTTAGGTCATTCGCGACCGTGATACGAACACACGACATTTCTGAGCGCTCTACTAACTTTGCTGCCGTGACGATGTGTTAACGAACAATAAATAAGAAGTTCACAATGATATCCCCGACTTTGACTTTCATAATTAATCGATTATCTGCCTCTTATTCTTTATTGTAGTTATTCGTTACTAGAATTTTTTTTAATTCTATCGTTGTTGTCTTTTATTATAAATTTGGTTTCAAAGCGTAAAACACCGTAAAACGCTAAGTGCCAAATGAAAAATTATATTCAATAACGATCAATTAATGTAGATTTATCACATTTACAATATGATCTACAGGAAGAAGGTTGAATTGTTCGAAATTCAATGTAAAAGGAAATTCATGAATTACATCGTTGAATTTTTCCCGTCGTATCTCTAAGACCAGAGACATATATGTCTCTGCTAAGACTGAGTACTTCCTTCGTTTCAAACCGGCGAGACCGGAATACGACACCAGCGAACCTTCCCCGTTTAAATGAAGGAACAATCCCGGTTTATAAAAGGTCAAACGGCGCATTCGGCGTACATATGTTTGAAAAAAGAAGTCCTAAATATGCAAGAGTATGAACAATTTCTAAAACGAGGTAAATTGTTGACAAGCAAGTTGATAAAACAAGAATATCAGTTCTATGGTCGATACAATGACCTTGTCAGCAAATACAATTTATCATTGAGTAAAATGCTGAATGACGTTTTTCATACTAATTGTTAGTCCATTATTTATAACCTGAATTGACGACGGATTTTTTCCTTATTTCCCGATCATGACAATTAAGGAGCACACGGCGGGTGTGACCGGTCAGCAGGGGATGTTCACTACTCCATGGCACCTGATCCCACCTCTGATGTTTTAGAGGTCCGTGTTTGCTCTGCTCCTATTTTGTATTGTTTGATATTGAATACTGTTCGTTATCTCCATATCCTTCTTAAGCGTCAAGATTGAAAACCGAAAAAGATTTACTTGACCATCACATTTTTCAAACATTACTTGTAGCATCATTGAAAATAATGAAGACCATGAAATTGCGTCTTCAAAGACATGTGGAAAGATTTATAATCGCAAAGATCTCATCAATCTCATCAACAGTAAGTGAAACGTTTGTCGGACATCGCATCAACATTACATTCAGAGCTTGCACGCTTCTCTATATTCCAAGACAAATTCAGAGCTTGCACGCTTCTCTATATTCCAAGACAAATTCGATAATTATTATTTAAATCTAAGGGGCATGCAAGAAAATACATGTACTAGAGATAAAATCGTAGAAATTTATTTGCTATTTTATAGAAGAATTCGCAAAATGTTTTGACCACTGAAAATACTCGTTATATGCTAGGTAAGACCTTTTTATAATTTTGAAATGAATTTTGCAAGTTTAGATTTGTTTTTCACGTCAGCTTTTTTAAAGACTTGTGGCCATGTATCTTTAATTTCTCAAACTTCTTAGGAATACATCAATAAAAGCCTGTTTCCCAAATTACAGCAATGTACTTACCGCGATAGGATGAAAAGTACAAGTTGTAAAATCATCAAAGACATCTAGTACCTCCGCATATGTATTTATTAACCAATTATCTTCTTCGTGTCCATAGTTGAAATAAATGCCCTCTATGTACCTTTCATCTAATGGAAGAGGGAACTAAGTTAACATATATTATTCTTTCTTCAGGTATAAAAACGAAAATCGACATTTACCACAGTTGTAAAGACGACTACATGTGTGATACTAATTGAAATGACTTACTGCCTTGGTATAGGAGCGTCTTCTCCTGGGTTTGGGAATCTTCCTGGAATAACCGAAAACTGATCTGTTCCTTCCAGTCTATTTCTTTATTTTTCTGCTTTCTAAACCCTTCATCTTTCCATGCATTAATGACCACTAATTGCTTACCATCTGAAAAAGCATTACAGTGTATTTATTTTTACAAAACAAGTAAAAGGATCCATCGGCATCTCTGTTCTCTGATTATACAAAATGTAGAGTTTTGGACTCTCGAAACGAAAATATGGATTTGCATAGATATGTTTGGACAAGATCATGAGTTGCTGTAAGCACGGGATAAGATTTACACAGTTTTTAACAGTATATATCAATGAATGAAAGTTTAGTAGACTACAATTTTATAAACTGTTACTATATACATGGGCATTTTTGTCATTTTGTTGTATTAATCATACAAGATTTTTTCGGGAGAATTATACCAACTTTTGCACGTGTACTTTTTAAACAAATAAATTTAAGTGGTTTATCGATTTTGATTGATTTATTGTTTGTTATTTAACGTCCCTCTCGAGAATTTTTCACTCATATGGAGATGCCACCATTTGCCGATGAAGAGCTGCAAATATTATCCTATGCTCGGCACTCAGGGCCATTGATTATTGAGGGATTTTTTTGCCAGCACCTACTGCGGTTAATACGGTCTCATCCGAAGGACCAGTCTCTACGTGCCATATTGGGATTCATACCCGCAACGTAAGGATCAACTTCCTACTTCGCGATTTTAGAGAAGTCGCTCTATAAACTGTGCCATGCGAGCAACATTAATAAGAATGTACCTCCTGTTTCGTAGGAAAATCATTAAGAACACTGGTGATAGATAATGGTGTAAATTGTGTTACCTTTGGTCGTATCTATTCTACAGTATCCGTCATACGGAGGTTCCGTCGTCTCCAGAATCATCCGTATTTCTGCCCACCTGTCGTCTGATATGTTCATCCTCAATGTCAGCATGTAATACGACAAACGACGGAACGAATTGGCTTTGACGAAGAATTTCTGTTCTGATGGATCTAGAATGCATTAGAAATAACTAAGAGCAAAATAAAATCACAAGTTTAAAAAACCTCTGCTGGAAAAAATATCTTTGACATTGACTTTTTAAATGGAGTTAGATACTGTATGTGCTGAATAAGACATGTACCTGTTTCTAACCAGTCTTCCCAGTCGTTTATTTTGCTGGTTGTTCTTGTTGTTGGGTCGAATTCCATTAACTTCCAGCTATAGACAATCTTCGCTAGATCGCTGGCAGAACATGTTATACACTCTGCTCGTAAGGACATTACTAGAGATGTGGCCACTTTAGGTTTACAATTCAACAAGCATCTATATATGATGTTGAAAAGGAAAGTTTCAATCAAATTAATTAAGACAACCAAAAAGACAATTTGTATGCATTTTTGCATACAAATTACAGAGTTTTTCTAGACTAAGCAACATCTTTTGGCGACTACTAGTACTTAAAAATATGGGAGAAGCGATGTTCTGGACATTTAGATGCAAAAAGAGAGAAATATTGAGAAACATTTACATCATGAAAATGACATAAAAAAGAAGAAAATGTTTTACTTGCAGAAGAGATTACAAGTATTTTCGTTTAGTTATTTCAGAGGTACGACTACTTACTCTATGTTTATATCAGGAAATGTATCGCTGGAATAAGTAATAGAGCTAGAATTCGGAAATACGATCTGGATTCTTTGTTGATAAATGTTTTCAGCGTCCAGGATAGTTACTTTGACGGAGACGATATACCCTACAGCTTTGGTCTGATGATTCGGATCAGTGACCACTTCCGCAAAGCCTGTGGTAGTCTCCGAGAAAGACGTACACTGACTGTTTTCAAACAGCTTAATCACAAGGTTCCAGGCTTCAGCTTCCCATGCCATCATATCTGAGATATTAAAACTTGAAATTATTTCTGCCTCAGTTGTCAGATCCACGAGATGTTTGTCGAAATCACGAAGTGTCGAGATGGTAAAATTCTCCTTGGGAAATCCATACATTAACCGATTTAATTCTGTCAAAACATCCGTCATAATTCGTAAATGTCTGATCAGAGATTTCATACTTGGCAAGAATTCTGTCTCTATCATATCTGTTTCCTGGTTTGTAATGTTTGGCTCCAGTTTAAGCAATGGTAAACCATTCTTTATATCTGTATAGCCTCTTTGTGCAACTTCTCTATGGGCTAATATTTCTTGAATATAGTTATTGCTGGTAAAATCTTGAAGCAAGTAATAAAGTTCGGCGCTCATCACATTGTCGAGGAAACACGGATTGGGAATTCTGTTTTTCTTCCTTGTAAATGCTGAATAATCTTCACAGCTTTGGGGATTGGTAATATTTGTTAAGTTTAAATATCTGTAAGTGTTATTAAAATACATAATATTTGTCTGACTGGCAAGGTTAAGATATGTCTCAGACATTACAGCTAGGCTTTGTATATAATCCCACGATACTGTTACATTAGCTAAGAATGTGAAAGATTCGGGAATAACAAATGTCATCAACATTTCTAAGGAATCCGTCGGAAATTCCAGACAACTCCACGAAAACTTCAGACCATCCCTGTAACCGGGTCCCTTTGTAAGATCATAAGATCCACTCCAGGCATCAAGCGTGGTTTTCCCGGGACCCGACATTCTCCCCGACCCACCCTGAATGATGACGTTAGGGGGAGGCAACTGCAATTTGAAGTACATGTATCCCTCCACAAACTCATACGACCCTGGGTAATACTCAATTCTTACAAAAAGTCTATACAGGCCAAACGGGAACGCCCCCGGGCGTATCTGAAAGAGTGATGCTTCTGCCATATAGGTCAGAGTCTCGTTTTCAGAGTGTTCATCGCACAAGTACAAAGTCCAGTTTTTGTAAAGGTTTGGCAAAACACACGTTATTTGTGTTTTTGGCAGAATCTCTATATTGGCTGACGAATACAGTACTAAAGGATCATCTTTTGTCATGTAATTCCCTCCAAAAACTGATCCCTCTAAACATGGTGGGAACTCTGCAAATAATTTATAACCATTACTTCTAAATTCGTTTATCTAAACACATACTTGGTTCCAAACCATAAGATATTTTTATTTTTTCTTAATGTATCTTTGCAAAACCTCTACATCACACAGCGACAAACAAACAAACAAAATGGATACATTTTGTAGAAAGAGATTAGAATTGCCCTTTAAATCAAATGTTGATCTATGGAGAGAATAACTGTCTGCATGAGAGGTCGCTGTGAAATTACTCAAGGATTGTTCGGAGAAATGTGAACACTACTTGGAGCATAAATAAAATTTTCATACATATTTCATTTAATGATAAATGTATGAAATGTTATCAAAATTTCAAAAATTATAAAAACTGATTTATTGAAAACAAATCAAAATACGTTGCAAATTCAGACATTTTAAAAGAAAAAGACAGTTTGGCACACAGACAGGCGGACGACCGACGTGAATTTAATTATCAAATGGTGTCTCCTGATCATGATCTCTTATCAGTGGAGCTTAAAAAAGACCTGATATATTTGGTTATTTTTCATGCAGCTTACCTTCACATTCGGCATCAGATGTATTACTTCCTGGGCAGTAACTGGCTAAAACCCCACAAGGACTGGGATTCGTACATTCCCTGGTTCTGTTTTTAACTCCATGGCCCATTGGGACAGAGCAAGAAGAGTAATTAGACCAAGCTGTCCATGCTCCATCACGGTATTTAGCTGAATGCATGAATGAGGAAATTAAGTATTCCACGGAGCCTTTGACAGTTTTAAACGTATATATAGATATTAAGATTGGAAAAGTTCAAGTAAGAAATCTTAATAATGTAGACACTTACTAATAATTTGAGCTGAAATCTGTGCGGTAGTGAATCACTGCTGGGAGTAAATCACTTCCGCACTTGCACCTTTACTTCTAAGGAATTGTAGCAAATGGAGATTGGTACTGTGCATTATTGAATTGGTCGCTACTTTATTAAAAATATACTCTGTGGCAACGCACTTTGAAATTTAAAAAATTCAAAAAGCTTTAAATTTGGGACAAAATTCAACGCACTTGGAAGTGCGTTGTAACAGTCCTTCTTCCCGTTAAGCAAATGAACTGGGTAGTCTGGTAATGATTAGTAAATACGCCTTTTTCGAAATTGTGAAGGTAGAGGCTCGCTCTCCAGTTGCGCCGCTTTTGCTTTCAACTCTTACTATATGTAACTCCCTAACACTCCTATCCCTCTCCCTCCTCTCCTCCCCCCTCACATTCCTCCCTCCCCACTCTCATGCCTCTCTCTCCCTCCTTTCCTCACTCCCCTCCCTCTCTCACTCCTCTCTCTATGCACTCCCACTCTCACTCCTCTTAATCCCCCTTCTCTCATTTTCTCTCTCTTCCTCCCCATTTTCTCTCTCCCAACTCCCAATCTCCACACCCACTCTCTCTCTCTTCGGCTCAATCCCACTCTCACTCATTTCTCTCCATGCCCTCAGTCCCCCTCTCTCTCTCTCCCTCCCCACTCTCTCTCCTCTCTTCCCAACTATCTCACCCCACTCCAACTCTTCTTCCCCAATCCCACTCTCCTACCCCAATCCCCCCCCCCCCACTATTTCCCCACACTCTTCCTCTCTCTTTCTTTATTATTTGTCCGCCTGACTCAGTTCCTCTTTACTCCCATTAAAAAAATCTATATATGCATAATATATAGATATTTCACAATGAAATATTTTTACAATGAAATTAATAGAAAAATACTTATTCTATAATAAGGAGGAAATTCTTACCGTTGTTAAAAAAAGAAATTATAGAATTTCTATTCTTGATCATCTTACTTAAAATGTGATTTAGCAAAATTGTTTATTTTGTAAATAAAATATAAGCAATATGAAATTATAAGGGCGATAACTTCAAACAACGGTAAATACTACATATCTGTTCACAATTCGATCATATGCGTTAAATATTTGTACATTTAATTTTACATGCTTGAAGAACAACATTTATATGCTTACATGTATTGCACGCCAGGAACACATGTCACCGTGTATATCCCAACATGCGGGGTGTATACTATGTTGTGCGCGGGGTGTATACTTCCGAAGCGAGAGAAACGGGGTCAATGTACGTTCTTTGTCCATTTTCTCAACTTACGGATATTTTTCGCCAGTAAGCATATGCCTACGGAAGGAAGCATTGTCTAAGGAGTATATGGATACCCGTGAATCCACTGGTCACCTAGTTTTATCAAACACCTCAACACAATTCCGAGGATCGGAGCAAGATTGACGCAACACTGTGTTTATGATCAAATATCAGATCAAAGCTTTGCTTTATCGTCACTTTTATATTATTGTTAAATATATTTTTACAAAATAAACGTTTGTACAAATTGTCTGTAAATAAAACAGTTCGTATATAAAGATATTGACAAAAAATCAATTTTGTGTCCGGGGTGTATGCAACATGTTGTACACGGGGTGTATACCCCTCTTTTTACTCTATAGTATCATTGTCTGAAATGTCATTAAAAAAATTGTTAACAATAGACTTTTGTAAAAGTTCTATTTGTTTTTAAATTATTCACCAGTTTTGTAATAGCACAACTTCAGGTTCATGAATTCGATTTACTGGAAATAAAATTGATACACGTTCATTGTACTTTTGGCTTTGCATGCACATGGAAGTAAATGTACGGGGTACTTTGTTTAACTGTTTAATGTGATGACCAACAACTCATCCCTTCTTTCGAATTAAAGGCACCTTATTCAGATCCTTTCTTAATAAATGCTTCACACATGCATCATTTTGAACATTTAACATTTCCTCATAATTTCTGTTTAACTTTTTTCAATACTTTTTAAATGAGTTTGAAAATATTTAGCTTTTTGTAATGTCATAAACACCAGAAAAAATGTTCTCATTCATGTAGTATTTATATGTTGTGTACTTTGCCCCCCCAGGAGCCTATATTTGGCAGTAAACTTTTTGTTTTATATTGAGGCATTGTATTTTACCGAGTACATACTGTCTAGGAATGGGCCCGAGGAGGGTGTGTTTGTGTCTTAGGTCAATTTTTTTTTTTGGGGGGGGGGGGGGGGGGGTGACTTTACTACGTGTATATACGATAATAAATTAGAGGAGGGTGAACATAATTGATATTAATTACACGTCAACGTAATATTGTAATTGTACCAAAAACAATTTTTTTTTCAATTGTGCATGCCCTCGGAAAATTGTCGTCCCTTATTACAAATGAGCATTTTTATAGCCGGCTTTACATGTTTATTGTGATTTGTAAAATATGAAATCTTTTCAGATAAGGAAAAATGAGTCCACATATTGCGAAAATTGAAAGGAAAATTAATAAACATGTATCATACAGACACGTAGTATCACCCCCTTTTTGTTTTCACTAAAGAAAATGTTCATCGAAAGTCAGGTTGCCCCCCCCCCCTTTTTTTTTGCAGCATAGTCGAACAATAATTATGTAGTATGTTTAAGTAAAAAAAGGAGAATTGGTACTGAAAAAAGATGGGACCTACAACCCCATCTGAAATGGGAGTTTGAGTTTCGATTCCTTTTTACACAATAACAATCGCTCTTTGCACATCTTGCGCTTTTTATGTTTGAATATGAAAGTTTGTTTTTTATTCTTTTTTAAATTTAGTTGATTTGTTTTTTATTTCAGTAAGTTGATGGAAATCACTCTTTGGTTCGGCATTAGTATTAAGGTCTTTTATCAACACTATCTGTCGCTTTTAAACCTGTGTGAATATAATATTTCCATTGATACTTTGCACTACACAATCCTAAGAAAAATATGGGGTATACACCCCGCGTACAACATGTTGCATACACCCTGGACACAACATTGATTTTTCGTCAATATCTTTATATACGAACTGTTTTATTTACAGACAATTTGTACAAACGTTTATTTTGTAAAAATATATTTAACAATAATATAACAGTGACGATAAAGCAAAGCTTTGATCTGATATTTGATCATAAACACAGTGTTGCGTCAATCTTGCTCCGATCCTCGGAATTGTGTTGAGGTGTTTGATAAAACTAGAAGGTGTCCAGTGGATTCACGGGTATCCATATACTCCTTAGACAATGCTTTCTTCCGTAGGCATATGTTTATTGGTGAAAAATATCCGTAAGTTGAGAAAATGGACAAAGAACGTACATTGACCCCATTTCTCTCGCTTCGAAAGCATACACCCCGCGCACAACATAGTATACACCCCGCATGTTGGGATATACACGGTGATTTTGGATATTATTTGTTGTAACGTTCTGATGTGCGATCAATGCCCTAAAATATCCACATATAGAGAGGTCTTAAATAGTTTTATTTGACATAGTATGGAAGTAGAGTTTGACAATCTTTATCCTTTTCCATGATATGCTTTCAGTTTAATTAAATTCTATATTTTTATAATTTTTGACCTGTTCAAACATTGTGACGTTGCATTGAGTGTTTAAAATGCACTTGCATCATGACTCCCTCATTTTTCTACCCATTACCCGGTATATCATATTTTCTTATAGCATATTTATAAAATTCCGTTTGGTGTTTTATTCAACTACGTACTGGTAATAAAACTACATGTAATCTTTACTTGTAGCATGGTTCTACTCTCCTAGCTATGGACGTTCAACTTAACGTTCTTGAATGGACAGTGTTGAATAACCGTTGGGCCATCAGCGTAATTTGAGTAACTGTTCACCTTATTACAGGTTCTGGTCATGTCTCTTAGAAAATTAAAATCATTCAATAAAGCAATATGGTCATTCAATTAAAAAGAGACTAAATCAATTTATAGGCTTAAGAACCCTCTCTATACACTGCACACTATAAAGAGTTATGATTTTAAGGTAATTTTTTGCAGTTAGAGTGATCTGCCCTTAGATCTAAATTCTAAAAAATAGAAATTTACAATATATTACTCAATTTGTAATTAATTAAAGTATTTTTATCATTTTAAAAGACCAAGATAAATTAACTGAACATGTTATTTTCTTGTATTTTCTCTACTGAAGTAATTAACAGTGATTTCTATTCACTGATAGTGTCTTGTCTTTGAACATTTTTTTCTGGGGGCAAATGCCACGCACCATATAATGAAAATTAAATAAATAAGTTCAATATTAACTCCTTTATACAATATATTTTTCTCAATGTCCAAAAAAATTTTGCACTTGTGTAGAGAGGGTCCTTAAAGTAATCTATGTTTCACATCAAGTGAAAACTGTATATGTACTTAAAATTGCAAATCATAGCTTACCTGTTAAAAATGGTTTCAGGATTAATAAAGTTTTTTTTACATCACTAAAGTATAGTTTAGTTAATTAACGTAAAATATTTACAGTTACGGTTGTTGGCATAAATTATAGTTTACCGTCATTTTAAATGTGCCGAATCCATGCACAAAATTAAGATATTTATAATTTTATAGTTGAGAAACACAATTCAAAGCCAGAGTCTCTGATTTTGAATTACAGATGCCAAAGCTATCGACAAATAAGTTGATGTTAAAAAAAAATTAAAATCACCCCCACTTTACATTATAATGCAAAGTGGTTGTTTTTGTATCGAACGATTATTGCTTATTTCACCTAGATTGTCGTATGATAATCATGATAAATACATAGGTTATAATAAATAA